ATCAGGGAGAATCAAATTCTGTGGGGTTTCCTCTGATTATACAACCATGAAATGATCAGATCTGGCTCATAAAAATGACATCTGTTAGAACCGATCCTGTCTTTTTGAAGGTTTGTGGGTTCACAGAGAAACCAATTAATGTGTTACTATGACAACATTCAGGCCATCCGTGTGGTTTCAGTAGAAAATGTTAACGTTGGTCAGAAAATCCTGAGGTTTTTGTCTTGTCAGTGTGTTAGAAATTTCCATAGTGTTGTTAAAGTGTAAATCAATTCTGTTCAGTTGTAAAATAGACCAATAAACGATTGAATAAACCTGTTCTCGTCCAGTAGAGTTTTTATATAAATGGTGGACAATCTAGTTAAAGTTTGACCCTTTTCTGTCATTAAAGTAAAACAAATGACTTAAAACACAATTTTATAGTCTCATTACAGATTTATTGGTTATAAAAGCAAACAAAATATAAAATAAATAAGTTCATATTGTACTAAGGGGCATGGTGGTGAGACACATTCCTTATTAAGACTGTTCAAGTTAAAATGTCAAATAAACCAGGGCCAGCTCACAGCTTAACTTGTAGTGACTTTAGTGCTTGTTTTTTTCAGACTGCAGTGCAGGAGGGGTGAAGTTTACACTTGTGGTTCAGTCCTTATTGGTTTCACTGAGAGGCAACTGACTGTTTGGAATAATAACTGGATCCAGGTCTCATTCCAGCAGGAGGTCAGAGGTCAACCAGTGAGTTAACAACTTCCACAGTGAGCAGGCCCAGCTTTGCATAAGAACAATAAACAAAACAAACTGGGGCCGCAACGCAAGACACAAACAACATAGATTTGTCTTCTTGATTCACCAGAAGTCAGAGTGTGAAAACCCCAGAACAGACCTGGTCCATCTTAGTAGCAACAGAGGGAAATCTCACAGGACAAAATGTCATGGCAGCCTAATTTTCTCTGAATAAAAGTGATAATTTAAAAAAGTTATATATTTTGATTGCGTTCCACAGTGTTAAGGTAAAATTAAACTTAACCGAAATTTGATGCATCTGCTTCTACAGTCAATTTAGGGTGTTAACTCCAATAATAGTAAAAAATAAAAAAAAAAGAAGAAGCAAACTCAACACAATACTGTACGGAGAAAATCACTTCAAAAACATTTCAATATTCCTTTACACACTGAAATAAAGACAGCATGGCGGTGGCAGGTGGGGAGTCAGGATTCATCATTATAAAAGCAGCCTGTACAAATGTTGCCGGCTCATCGTCCTTGATTTGAACTGTAAAAGAATCTAGCTAGTTACACACGACCAAAACAAGATGCACGTGTCCAGTTACACACTCAGTGGTTGGCTCAAAGGAGACATGCAGCTTCACACAAAAAAGAAGGGTTAAGTCCTGATATTGGCTGTGAGATGAGAAGAAACAGGTCTTACCTTTACATTACCACTGGACGATGCTAACATAGATCAGGCACTTTTTCGGACCCCCCTTTAACAGAGATATTGTACAAGAGTCCACAGAGCTATTTACATTGTTTCACCTGGTGGAGAAAACCACTGGACACACAGGG